CTCATTGAGTATCATACCTTTCTTCTATGTTTTTCGTGAAGAACTCTGACCATTGTTCGGTGGTTTTCCTGCTGTAGGTTTGACATCCCGAAGAATCCAACCACTAATGGCTCTTATCCATTGGCTGTCGTTCATACGCATTACGTGTCCGGGCCAACTTATTTTCGACTATTAGGCGTACGAAACGGCATCTTTGATCATTGACGCGGGTCGAATCTTGGATCCCTTCCCGAATCTTTCATTACTTGTGTGACACGGAATACTCCTAGCATCGGCTTTTCGACTGTACGTTCAATAAGGCCGAGTGATCTTTCATCCTGCTTGCGGTGACCAGGTTTCTGACACATACGTTAAGGCAGGAAGTATGGTGGAGTGGAAAAGGTGTGCACGGAATCGGGTGTTATTTGTTCCCTTCACTAAATCCTCGATGCTCTTTGAAAGCTTCTCAAACCAGTTGCTTCCTTCTGCTCAACTTTGGAGCTAAGTCGATCACCATATTGATTTCTCTACCTAGATGGACGTATCTGGATCACTCGGAGATATTTATTCGGTTGAACATGAATGGGGTATACGTTACCTATTTGTTCCTCATAAATACCGTTTTTGCGAGATTTTGTCGCAGACCAAATTTTCTACAGGCCATATTAAAATCTGCAAGCATTTTTTTCGTTTGGCTAGTATTTGGTGTTATAAGAACGAAGTCATCAGCAAAGCGAAGACAGTGTATATTTCGACCATCGATTTTCACTCCTATGTTGCCCCATTCCGATTCTGGCCAGACATTCTCGGAAGTGGCAGCAAATAATTTTAGCGAGATATGAATGTGTCGTTTTCTTGTTCAGCAATCGCGAGGTTTTTAAACAGCATACATTTACTTCCATAAAAACACAATACAATACAACGCTAGCTGACGTTTCGGCAGTATCGCCTTCTTCAGAGCCTGGAAGGGTATACTGATATACAATCTACTAGGCCAAACGCTTCAATGACACTTACAAAAAGACGAAAGACTCTTTGGTAATTACATGATCAACAACCTCTCGAAAAACCCACCGCTTTTTCGTGACTTCCAATGAGGAAGTTTAGAACAGCTGATTATAGTCGCACGTGGTTGACGACTGCGCCATCCCACATCAAAAATCGATGCGAACGTACGGGATCAGGTCGCGTATGACCTCCGGGCATTCGTCCCTGCTATTCATTGTAGGGTTTTTGGCATTGATCCAAAAAGCCTCAAGGAGTTTTCGCGCTGGTGTTTTGGACTCCTGTGCAAGGATATTGACTTTTACTTCAAAATCGTCTCCGCTATACTTTTGTATGCTATGCGTGCCTAGTGGGGTGCTTCGTCTTAGTTTTCGTTTGCCATCTAGGTGTTCTTTTATACGGATACACAAAGGTCTGCCCGTTTCGCCAATATATTCATCTCCACAATTGTTACACGAGATCAGGTATATCGTACCTGAACTCATGCAATCACCGTCCCTGCCGTAAGGGAAAATTACGCAATTTGTTGTTTCAGACAGACGGTCATACAGGCGGTTGCGAACTAATTGGCGACGTAGAGTAGTCGGTGGTATTTCAACTATCGCTACCGATTCCTCTAGACCTGCCTTTCTTAAGCATCGTTTTATAGCTGCGCTTACTTCATCGCTTATAAAAGGCAACATAAACGGGATTTTGTTTTGGCCAAGTGTTTCGCGTGGGCGCATTCCTTTTTAGGTCATTCCTTTTTACCAATAACACGGTCTTGCTGGTCTTCCACAGAGTAGGGACCTAGTATGCAGACAGGTAACGTGTGAAGAGCCGAGCCTGTGCGTTTACGAGGACTGGCGGAAGGTTCTTCAGGTATTCTGGTCTTATCCTGACCCGACCTTATGCTGCTCGATCTTTCACCCACGAAATGATGGCACAGCATATCCATCCTCCCTTATTTCATATGAGAGAAGGAGGACGTGACTATTGAAGAAATCTGAGTAGTCATCGTGAATGATTTTCTCCATTGTCTTTCTGGACGCTGTAACTGTCCCGTCTTGGCGTCGGAGTGCTATTATACTGGTTTTGTAATTGGCAAAGCTTCGGTGGGCTAGGCGAACGCCTTTCTTGCGCTTACAGCTCCTACCCCAACTACTGCTCTTCTCTCTTTGAGATCTTCTTTTATCGCCTGTCTGCAATATTTTGCAAGTTCGGACGTAAGTTCACGGTTGCCAGCATCTCGTGCGATTCCACGCTGGCGCATCAGCTCGAGTGTTTCTGGAGATAGGCGGCCCTTGGTGGCTTTCGAACTCTCAGCTTTCATAGCTCTAACGTGAAGATGTAGAATGAGTCGATCGTATTCTTCGTCGTTCTTGTCGAGAACGACATCTTCACAACAGCCAACTAATGAACTGAGTAGATCCATGTTTATGGTGGTTTTAAGACTTCGTTTTGGAATTTAGCGGATTTTTCTTCATTCCGCGAGAGATGAAATTTTGTGCGAAGGCGGTGATGGCTTGATCCCCTGTAGAATTTCGGGCCAATATTGACATCGGTAAGGCAAAGCCATTTATTTACTATGATGTGGTCTATTTCGTTATGGTGCTCTCCATTGGGAGACTCCCACGTCCAGCGCTGAGGGTGGAGCTTCTGGAATTGCGAGTTACCATAAATGGTCTTGGTCGTCATGATAAACTCGGACAACTCTCGCCCTGCTCGTTCCATTCTAATCCGTGGGTCCCAATGTGATGTTTTATAGACGTTCGTCTTGGTCCAGTCTACCCGTTAAAATCTCCATTGATAACTTTGAAGAATGTATGGTCTTCTCTATAAAACTTGTAGTCCACATAGAACGCTTCGACTTCTTCGTCATAGTTTGACGTCGGCGCGTAAACGATGAAGATTGTCAAATCCAGCACTGATTCACTTTTTTTAATCGTAAACGTCCGATTTCGGTTGTTAGCTGTTCGAATGAATCGATGTTCATAGACAAAGTCGTGTCGAGAAGAATGCCCACACCACCTAATCCTCTATTTTCGCTTGTGCCGAAGAACAGTTCATCTCCGGTGTCGTAGACGGTGTTGAATGGGTCGTGTTGCACCTTATCCATCCTGCTTGCATGATCAAGTCTTCTATCGAGAACTCAGATGCAAGTGTGCGTGCATTGTAGGTACAGATCGTCACCCTAGTTTTTTGCAATCCAGGTAGCTTAGAATGGCCTCTGAGGTTTTAGTAGCCTCTCCTCACTCGTCTTACCCAACGCTACCGAATTGGGGGCCATTTCTGGATCAGAGGAATGAAGACGTTTTTTACTGTGCTCAGCTTTTTATACTCATGTATTGTTTGCTGAGTTCTGAATATGGGAGCTGGGTATACTCAAGGGTAGCTTGCCAGTCTTTCCCAGAGTGGACATGGAGCTTATTTGGAGGCGGCTCTTAACCGCCTCCCATATACTTTCCCGTTACCTGACTGCATGCTTTTCGCCGAATTGATTCGCATAATAAAATGCTTTAGAATAGAATAGAACACGTAGATTTACGTTCGAAGGTTTCTTTTTGCTATGCAACCGAACATAGTAAATGAAAGTGACTCGAAGAGTCATGCAGAGGTACGAAGAAGAATATGGTACGCATGCTGCTTTTAAAAAGTGTCGGAAAATGCTCGTCATTTGCTCAGGGTACTGCCGTAGCCTTAGTATTTGTGCTTAAAAAACGGCATGCTGTCCGTACGTATCAGTGCGCGTTCTTGGACATTATTAAGCTGATGAAATGCTTCAGTCACGTTTTCGGTCCACAACTACCTCTACGACCATCTTTCGTGTTGGGTCGGTTTGCTCAAGTCGTCTACTCATAAGTATCGATTCTTCTGTCAGAAACACTTCGAGCAATATTCGGTCATCAACTGAAATCGCATGAATCTGACCACCTACTGGGAGCAGTAAAAGGGAGACGATTCAATTACGCCCAAACGGCGCAGCTCATTTTTTCTACGCAAGTCGTTCCAATTTTAGCACAGCTAGCTTTTCAACAGTTTTTCTTCTTTGATAGGTCAACTTTGATTGCTAATCAGTAGTGTGTTTCTTTCAGTAATTATTAAAGTAGTAGGTGTTGCTTAGTTAGTTGTTGCTGATATTTCGCCGCCCGAGTTTATATCTGGATTTTTCTAGCACGCTATTTTATTTCTGCTTTTTTAAACTGATTTGAGCCGTTGTTCTGGGTGTTCAACGTGCAGAGGGTGACCATGATCTTCGAAAAAGACTTTGAGCAACTCAGTTTTAGCTACAGTCTACTGTTTTACAATATTTTTTATTTTTCTGTACCAAAATCTTTTTTTTTTACAATTTTTGGTATCATTTTTTCCGCAGTAGCTCAAGTCGAACATTTCCGTCGTTTTCAACCAAACACTAATAAGGTGGAATGATCTGAGCACAATAATGTCATCTACACTTTCCTAGAATTCATTTTTTCACAGAATGCGTCTTAGAAATCTTAGGAAAAAATCTTAGAGCAAAAAATTACACCAACAAATTTTAACTTTCTTTTGAAACAAAAACTGTGGTTTGTTCTTCATCATTACAGGTACGGTAAGCGTGAGCGGAGCAAGTGTTTTTGAGCAATCGGCATTGTTTAAATGCTGTCAGATAAAACTCATGTGAAGTGACTACTAGATCCAATGACGTCCATTCGGTTTTCGCAAGTAGAAATTTCAGAGTGATGATCAAATGGAGGCCTTACTACAGGACTTTCTTGCAGCTTCTTCTACTTGGGCTTTGTGTCACGGTGACGAGTGCCGCCAGAGCGAAACGTAAGCTTTTCCGCTATCGTGCGACTCTGAAAATAGTGAATGATACGCCGAATATCCACGGTGAATTATTGTATGAATTGGTTGTAACATGAGGATTTCGTACTCGATGATTCTGAACATCTGGAAATATTGGGTAGAAGTAGAAATATTCAAAAATCGAGCCCTATAATCAGTAAAGTTTGACCTCTTCTCACAAATCTAGTTGACTATCCCACTTTCTTTCATTGGGTTCCCACTTATTGATCTGTTTAAACTCCTCACTAATACGGACTTTTCCAGACGATAACTGCAAATCGGAAAAGTTGAGAGAGTTAGTACTGGAAACTGTTGGCATCTACCCACATCAGTACAGCTACCAGGCCAAGTACGTTGTTTTTCACGCTTAGTAATCGAACACCCTTTAAAGGATTTGAAAATTATTGAAGAGGTGTTTGAATATTTAATGATGAAATAGTACATCTTCATCAAACACAAACAATGATGTGGACTAGAGGAGTTTGATTTCCGCTTAAGCGGTAATTTGCTGGTTACCCAAAATTTTCTTTGTTTGGAACTGTGAAATTTATTTTAATGCGTCACTTGATTGTCACCCTAGTGTCTCTTTTTCTGTTAATTTGGTTTGGCTTTTGGAGGGAAATTTCAAACTTCTGAACTTTGAAGACCACGCTAAAACATGGCGTGCCATCTATCCAGCCATAAGAGAGTGTAGAATGTACACTGGTATTATTGGAATTGAAGCGCAATCACATTTTTAACAGCACTTACGAGACAATGTGACCTTCATAGGAGTTAGTGAAAATAGTGCTTTCAACCCTGAGTCGACCATTCTGAGGTTGTAGCGAATTTTATTACGGTAGTGGAGTCACTTACAGTAAACACTGTTGCAATATACATATTCTTGCTTGCTGGTTAGAAGTTGTATCCTTTTGCTACGACGAAATTCTGATTTTCTGGAAACAATAACACATATTTCTACTATTCTGTTACTTGAAAGACCGCATTTTAAACGCAACAGCAAATGAACAGGCGGAATATCGTCCAGCATGAGGCGACGGTGCTCCGCAATGTATTGTTAATGTTTGTAGCTGCCTATCGTTCACTGGAAATTTCGAAAACTCAAGTTTTGTTTTTAAAACTTTTAGCAGCTTTAGCTTTTAGCAAACTAGGTAGCTTTAAATTCGAAAGGACACTGTGTAAAAATTAAACATCCGAGTGTTCGATGGGCTGCGTTTTCTTCTATAAATCTATAAAGTTCTAAACTGCTAAAATACTCTAGGTGTCGTCAAAAGGCCACCTATCGAAGAACCAGCTTGATTGCGAAAGGGTTAATGAAAGAGGGTAAAAGTGGCATGACAGGCTCAACAACATTTTTAAATGTTATCCTTTTATTTACTTGGTACTACGATTTTTCACGGCAGGGTATTACGTAAAACGCGATATCTGTAAATCTCCACCAAAGACCCGACATTAAGTCTTATACGCCCTGGAAAGATTGTGCACTTCAAACACTAGCAACGTTATTACTGAAAAACACTTAATAACCTTTGTTTTTGTTAAGACAACACCCTCATCCTCAATCATGTGCGCAGTTTCGAACAAATGAAGTGTGAGAACACATTTGTGTAAGGGGTATTTTTTCTAGTTGTTTTTTTTATCAAGTTATTTTCATCACCTAACATTTTTAAGCACAATCAGAGATTTGCAACCATGCGACTTTGACACCAGGACGGTGTTGGATCCTGGTATTCGTCTACTCTTAGCTTGGCTTCTTGATGGAAACGCTGGACTCCTCAGCTTAGGAGACCGGGACGAATCCGCCCGTTGTACATCGCAGTCGTACACCCAGGAACACCTCCCAGTCGAGATGAGGCGGGAAACCGTTGGGAACCGCGTAACATTATGGAGACGGAAGGCATAAAAAGCGACAGTTTCAAAAACTTGAAGGTGTTTTGTGTTCCATCTTCTATTTAACTCTATTCATAATTTTTTGTAAGGTTGACGGCTATGTTGGTCGCTAATACTACATTTTATTGAGGACGTACCAATTTGTGGCGGCATCTGTCATACTATGCCGAACGTCTCTTTTAGTTCGTGGTTTAAAGAAGCATCACAATTTTGCCAAAACCCACCAAAACTAGCTAAAAAGGCATTAAATGGTAAATTCGTTCAAATTTATGTAGTTTTATTTGAGTACGAAGGTGATCGAAAAACCACTATATGTTTGTTCGGAAAATTGTCTCGGTTTTAAAAGCCCTGTCATTATCTATTTCTTATTATTGTATTACATGACCCTTCTTCACATGTATCACCCTGTACGGATTCCAGCGCTTCCTGTATTCGGTTCGTCTCTTCGCACCCACCATTCACGAAGGTCTTCCAACTTCTCATGCGTGGCACCGGTTCCTGCTTGAGAATTTCTACGCTTCCGCCACGAATGTCGTTAAATGCTGATTGAGCTGATTTTCCCTGGAATCTCGAGAGAACCGTCTATTGGCACTCCCACAGGGATTAGAGGAAGTGAGATTGTTTATTCTAGGTTGGTCTGGTAGTACCTTTCCAGCCGCAAAGGGTGGACAGACTTGGTGGGATAGGAACGGAGTTGGATCGGTGTCTGAATGTATTGGGCCGTCCGCATAATGGACAGAATGACTACCACTGCGCTACCCATTTCTTTAAAAGACCCAGTTATTCAAGCATTAATATATAGATTACGTCATCGAAAACTCTGTTCAACATCAATGAACTCACATGTTGTGCTTAACACGAAATTATTGGCAGACTGTAGTACGCCAATGGCGTATTTTACCAACCCCAGTAGTGCTGTTGTATTTTACGCAGCTGGGATTGCGTTTGAAAGAAGAATTGGTCTAAATTCGTTTACTTTTTTTGTTCCGAAACACATATGCACAACATAGCTTACATATACACCTACATAGATACATTAGTATGCACACACATACATGCATACGTACATACGCGTGTACAGACACACACGTTTACATCGAAGTACATTTTCATGATGTAATGACATTATAATGGGTGATTGCTGATGGCACTGGTAGATAGATAACTAGCTGAGAGAAACGCAGAGCAAAAGCCTCCATGGCGCATTGTTTAAAGCGCGAGCCCCGGAAAGGGAAATAGTGGTTTGATTTGGCTCAGGGTATAAGTTTTGCGAATATCTCTCCATCGTTGTGGTTGATTTTGCGTAATACCCCGTTGTGAAAATTGTAGTAGGCAGTAAATAAAAAATGACATTATAGTGTCGATTCTGATAAACGCATTTATGTGGCGAAATGAGTTGTTTTCAATAATTTTAAAATAATGCAAGGAAAGCAGGGTAAATTTGGCTCTGGAAGGATATTTCTTAAGGTATAAGTTCACTATTCATTTATTGAAAGTCGGTTTTTCGAAGTGATAAAGAAGTAGTCTTTCCCATGAAGATTTTCTAAATTCACTGATATCACGGTTCCTAGTAATGTGATCAGTTTCAGGTATATGAAGCAACAAGCAGAGGAACGATTTGGTAACTGGTGGAGTGCGGTAATCATCGGCGATCGAGGTGGTTATGGAATGAGCGCTGTCTATGATCGGTTCAAAAACACGAGGTACAGCCTGAATTCGACTAGTTATGGACTTCCGATAATCCCTTCCTTGTCTGTAACACAGTGTAATATACGTCACTTTACTCGAAGAGAAAAAATTAGCAGTGTCGTAGTCATGTCGTCGTAGCATCGTGGAAGATCAGATATATTTCATTCGTGAACTTGCTTGATTTTACTCTAATTTGAATGTTTGTCTTGTCTTCACGAACGCCCAAGAATCTGGCTCCCGTAGACAGACTGAGAGCAAACTTCTAACCTGGTCCTCTTAGGACTAATGAGAAATCGCTAAACAATTCGACGTCTACTGTTCTATTGTCGTTTGCCAATCGCCAACTAAGAAAAATTGGAATGGTGAAAAACTATCAGCGTCATGGACGGACCAGTAACAAGATAAAAAGTTGTTTCAAAATTGGATCGTAGTTTCTTTTAAGAACAAAAACGACCCATTTCCCAATGAAGTTGTGATGAACGTTATAAAATTGATTCCACTTGAGGACCGAGAACGTTTAAAGCGGTAGCTGGAACGATGGTTCCTAAACGCTTCCCAGGGATGAACTTGCACCGGAACAAAATTGTTTTATGCACTCTCCATAGAATCGGTCCCATACCTTTCTAAATCCAGTCAACACGATCATGGCGAAGAAGTACTGTCACGAAATTCGTGAACAGCGTCGAAAATTTCGGCTTAGTTCTTCAGTTTTGGTCTCCAAAAATTGTCGAGTACTTCTGCATGACAGCAGTCGGCCATACGTTACACAAGTAATGCTGCAGAATTAGAAATAATTTGCTGACAAATCACACCAAACATACTTAGGACCTCTCGCCACCCAACTACCACTTTTTCAAACACCTTTAAAAACACATCCGCGGGCAATTCTTTAACCTAATGAAGGCCTTGGTGAAAATGCTTCCAAAAGACTAGTGGCTGGCGGGTCCTCAAAGCTCTATGTCGCTTGATAAGTAAACTTGTATCTTGTTAGCAAAAATGTGTCGATTCTAATTTGTTTTATCTCTATTAATGAATTCGTATTGGTACCTAGACTCAGTGGCCTCAAATTCGAGGCCAAAGTGGCAACTGCTTTTGCAATGAGTTATAGGAACATCGTAAGCGCTTGATTTCCTTCTGACTTAGTCGTAAAAACGTTCCCATTAAAAACCACTCACCGAACTTTAATAGGCTTATTCTTTATGCTTTCCAATCGAAAATCGTGTGTGAATAGCGAGCGACAACGACTAACCAGTAATCAATATGATTTCTATAATTGGAAGCCACAAAAGTCTACTAAACCTATGGTTTGCTTTTTAATAGTGCTGTATTTTAAATGCTTTTTCATATCATAAATTCATAATCACTAGATGACTAAATGTCTTACCGTACTCTCCCAACGGTACGTCTCGTGCGGTACACTATATGATACGTGACACTACGTGATTCATGTCCCGTGATCGATGAGTGATTCTGGAATCCAACAACTTTCTTGGATAGTTTTCTCCAAGATGTTAAACTTTTTTGATGATCTCTCTTTACTAGTTTCCGCTAAGTCACCAGTGTTGATGTGACGTGCTTCAAAATCTAAGCCGATTTCGCAACTCAAGCAATCAGTGGCGACCTTGCCTAAGTAATGCTTCGTTGCATAGACCCGTCCAGACTAGAATTCAAAATGGTTTCCACATCTGTTTGAGTTGGATGTCTCCAAACGGATTTGTGTCTATTACTATAAATGTTGGCGAAGTGTACAATTCCGCCAACTGTTTGCTCTTGTGCACCAAAAAGGCCTATTTGATTGTTCTGAATGGACATAAACCAGTTCATGTCTTAGCATCTCGGTCTGCACTCCGATTCTCCACGTGATTATGCATTTGAAGATCTTCTATGGACGTTAAAAATTGTGCTAGGATAGCAATCCCTGGCATTTTGTATGAGACTTTTTCAACGCAACTATGTGGCTTCTTTGTGTTCCTGGTTTTATTTAGTTTAAATGGCTATTTTTATCTTTATACTTCTTTTCAGCTGTGAAATGCAATTGTTTGGCACGTTTTATTGGCTAGGGCGCACGTGTTGAGCTCCTAACGACGGCTTGGCAACGACAGTCCCATGTCACTAGGCTTTTCAAAATGAACTCCTTTCGCTTTTATTTGTTACCTGTATGTTCGCTATATTTGATTTATGCAGTATATTAGGGTAAAACGAAGGATCTCCATTGTGATTGGTATTTTCCGAGATTTCGTCTTTTCACTGCAAGAATGTTCTTGTTATGTTCAGCGATGCGTTACTAAACATTGCAGCTCATTGCTGGATGAGTTCTGAAGTGATGTCAACCGAAACTCAGTAAACAGGAGGCATGACATTAAACTGCTCTGTTGATAGTCCAAACCAGATGGGTTCCACTACGATCTATTTAAAGTAGCTTGACTATCGTTAGGCTATGGTTGAAGGGGATTCAATACGTGATTAAAAATTGCATTAGAGCGAGGAATTCATCTGATGCACATTTCTCTCGAAGAATGAAACGCCAATAAGGAAGTCGCATCTCTTGTCCTGGGCCCATAAGTAAAAAGAAACATATGGGCAGAAATAGAGGTGCTGCAGCTGTGAAAATCCGGAATATTACCTCCATTTTTTAAAATTTTGTAGTCGGGTTAGTGTTGTTTCACATCTAGTTCTTGGCGTCGGAGTACATGACGATTTCTTCCAGTATAGAGTTGAAAATTAGACAGAGATAGTGTGCTTCAAATCCTGTTACGGGTTTTATTCCCTACAGCTTACGTTAGAAAAGGATGTGTAGGATAAGCTAGAAAACTTATGCGAAGTTGTTCAACATTTGGCATTCAGAAGTAACTTTTACAAACTGGAATAATACAGAAAACGAGCTAATGGCTTGTGAAAGGAAGAGAATACGATCAACTAGAAAATAAGAAACCGCGAACTGAGCTTACTGCTCTCTCTGAAGCCCATAAGAGCATTATTACAATGGTCATTTCCACTTTTCTACTGAAGGAAAGTTGGTCGATGCTCACTGAAAGTTCTGTTTGAAAAGCGAAACCAGAAATATAATGCGACTTGGAACGAAACAAAGAATTTCAGATCATAAAAAACTTCTGCAATCATTCGGATCCAGTCATTGCAGCTCTCATGAAGGAGAAGACGCGGAAATATTAAAAGCTAAAAGCATAAAGCTCTCGGCGTTGATCAATCCCTGAGGGATTCGTCATGTATTCGACTTCATTAAGCATCGTTGGAGGTGATTGAATACATATCTGGCCTTTACAATGACTCGCCGTGGCTGGGTAATGTATCGAGCCAGTGCTGCTATTCTCCCAGACAAGTCTGGTACCAATTTGGCAACCCCGTAGGGAAGGAAGGCATAGTGGGAGGGGATCTATTCCACGTATTTGTTGCAGGCCGCCTCTGACCACTGCGCCACACGCCTCCTACAATTTTAATAAGAATAAAGAATGATTATAGCTCATAATTATGATTGTAGACCTGGTGTGAAGAAAACTATCAGCAAATGGTTTGCATAAGGAATCATATTTATGATTTATGAAATGTTGGCCTATAAAAAGAAGTGTCTCTGCAATAAGCATTTTTCAAGAAGACATAGATGGAAGGGGACCTATTTTTCAAATGTTCTATGAGTTGCTTGGCAAAGTGTTGCTTTCGAAAATAATTCCGACTTATCAAAGACGTTCTGGCGACAGAGGATTGGCTTAGTTAGCCAAACGATATTCTCTCTCGGCCGCTGTCTAAACACCGAGGCGTGCCGAATCGCGTTAAAGGGAAACGACTACACGGATTATACCGTCTACCATAGGATAAGCACCAAGTACTGAACATCGAAATGCGACTCGAATGCGTTCCTCTCTTCAATGCAATCAGGACAACATGTTTGCTGAAATGAAGAACTGTGAGTCGAAGAAATTCTAATGTGTTCAGTATTTGAAGGATCAACTTTTGAGGAGAATAATTAGTGGGTCAATACTGACTGGCAATTCTATTAAGCCGAATGCTGACTATTTTTAAATAGAAAATTTGAAAACCAATTAGTCGCACAAATCGGCTCAATAAAACAAAGAAAGACCCTTTTTGAGAGTGGCTAGTGTCAAATCAGGGTCGATAAGATACCAGGAAAGTTAAGGATCACCGCGTAAGGAAACATGACTTTCCTGACGACGCGCGCTAGCCATTGGAATTCGGTTCAAGTTTCTCACCTACGAAACACATTTCTAAGGAAACCTTTCACGAGATCGCATGCAACCTGCACGAGTATCAAGGTCGGCTACCATAACAAAGCTGGACTAGAAATGCTGAGTAGGCATGACCAACAAGAAAGTGGTGCATTATTTCCAGCTACGACTCTCTTCAGAAAACAAGACCCTAACGGAGAAGTAGATACAAACTTTCGTATATTTGCGGGAGAAACACTCAGAATCTTTAACACCTATCAATAGAGAAAGTTCGATTGCAACCTCACAACAGCAAAAAATGCAGCATGCGACAGGGTGGATAACTGATAAATCCAAAAACTGTTAAACTATCAGTTAGCGCTTAAGGCAAAGAGTTTGCAGTAATTCCTTATCATTTAGATGTTGAAATGACGGAGGAACGCTTTGTAAGCGCTTGCTTTTATCTCTCAATATCTGAAAAGGAATTCAGAAGTCACTACTGAACATGAAAGACAAAATGGGTGAAGCACAAGAGCAGTACATTTCATTGCTCATTTGGCAAATTAAAATTGGATTGCTAACATGTCCCGTCTTATACTTAACAAAACTCATTTTTAGTGTCCATTTATGACTTTGTGTCAACCAACCACTCAACGTTCAAGACTAGACCTATCATCGGTTCTGTAGATACGGCCACGGATAGAATAGTTTGGCTAATAAACCTAACACTCATCCAGCTGCTCAAATATACTCTGCCCCATCATATGAACACTAAGATGTTCCTGTATCGTCTAGGCAACGCGCGTCCTAGCGCAGCGCGTACGTGGTGGATCCTTCGAGGTTACCGCCCTTTGCACAAACATGTCGAATGACGCAGCTATGGAAACCATCTTCGAAGTCCTTATGCAACACCAATAAGCAATTAACATGTATAACTTCTCGATTAAGCAGCTCATTACTCTTTTCTAGAAATGCCAAAGCTTCTAAAGCTTTAGATGATCCAAGAAGTATTTCGGACAAATGGGAGAGTTGTTGATGGGAAAGCGACTGACAGGAAGCCTTTCCATTGCATTTGCATCTAAAACAGAATCTTCAGTGATCGATCACAGGCGATTGGTTCAATGCAGATTTGTAGATTATTGTTTTCTCATTTGCTCCACACAAAAGGGGGTGGATAAATGTTTTGAGTTATTTAGCGAGCAGTCGTACCGTGTAACATTCACCCGTAAGAAAACTGGATGCCATTTCTGAACGTTCAAATTAACTTATCCGACAACGGCTACTTCAGCAAATGGTGCCAGAAGCCAAGTAACAGGGCAGTTCTTCCTTGATTGCCATTCAGTGTTACGCTTTTTCACGTACGGGATAGTAGTATTACTTCTCGATGTACAACAAGTTGGGATAGTTTGCTTTTGTCTGAGATAAACTTTGCCAAATATACCTTGCTGAATGATCTACGAGCTAAAGAACATTTTGGAGAAGTTAGCTAAAAGCAGTTAAGATTTCATTAGAAGCATAACAGTTTGCTCTGTTTCAATGGCTGTGCTTCTTCCTTCATTAAAGAAAATGCGACAAACCGGCAGGAGAAAGAGATCTGATGGGTTGCTATT